CTCAGATAAAAGGGTCTTTTCACCTAGAAACCAGTATTATGCTATGTGGTTGCTGCCGAGTCTAGTACAAACAAAAAGATTTACAACTGACTCATAATCCAAGCCCTAATTTTCATCTGGACAGACGGGCAAGTCCCTCGTGGGGTGCAGCATAGAAATGGTAAAATGTAAAGAGGTATCATTTTTCTTTAATTTGGTCAATGATGAAACACCCATTCGCCTTCCCAGCCATGACATGCCACATGAAACAATGGCCCATGATGTCCACCACCCCACCTTCTGGTGACCCAGAAGCCTGTTCGCTTATCAAAGTCATTTCTACTTCCGTCCAGCTGCATCCAAAGGATAATAAGATGAGATGCATCCATAGGAACATAAACACAGCTGTGCGTTCAGCCCAGCCCTGCACACAAGTCAAACACTGGGTCCCTCACGGTGTGATGTGAGTAAAGGGTCCAAAAGCCTCCCCTTACTGTGTGCCCAAACACCAACTCCCTGTGGCTGGCTGTAGGGCAGGGCATCGCCAATGCTTACATTACAGTCGCTTTGGTTAGTGCGGGGGTTAGCAAGGGGAGGCCCTGAGCAGGAAGCAGGAGGAGAAGCGGGCAGGGGAGTTAGAGGAACTATAGGTCCACCTCCCTTGTTTCAGCAAGAGCAGCTCTGCTCTTATATATTTCCCTCTCAAACCGAAATACACTAAAAGCCTCCGGTCTCAAATACTATGACCTTAGGAGCGCCCTGATAAAATTATCTGTGGGAAGATTACAGATGAATCCACTGTTAGCCATTACCGCCATTAAAGGGTTGTCTACCGGAAGAGCTCAGGTTTGAAGAGAGAGAAGAAACGGGAGGAGAACACACACGGGGCCACTGGTGGGAAACTTGAGGGGAGGCAGCCAACAGAGCACAGGGAGGGAGGTGGCGTGAGGGAAAACAAACCTGCCCTGCTTTGTAAGTGAAATAAGCCAGGCAGGGAAAGACGAATACTGTACGGCTCACTCATATGTGGAATTAAAAAGAAAAAGTCAAACTCATAGAAACAAGACAGTGGAAGGGTGGTTGCCAGGGCAGGGGCGGGAGAATGGGGTGATGCTGGTCACAGGGCACAAACTTTCAGTCATAAGATGAGTACGTTCCGGGGATCCGATGTGCAGCATGGTGACTAGAGTTAATAATGCTGTATGACATACTTGAAATGTGCCAGGAGAGTAGATCTTAAGCATTTGCACCAAAGAACAAAAAAAAACAAAGGGTAACTATGTGAGGTGATAGATGTGTTAATTAACTCGATTATGGTAATCATTTCACTATATACACATATAGCAAATCATCACATTTACACTGTAAAAATATACAATTTTTTGTCAATTATTCCCCAATAAAGTTGACAACAAAACCAAACAAACAAAAATCTGTCCCTTCTGTAACAGGTGGCCAATGTTAGCCCTGGTCACAGAAACTTGTTAGGGAAGGCTCAGATACCAACATCACAAGGTAGATGTTTTTTAGTGGAGATTTGAATAAAGATTGTGCAGAAATGTATTTACTGATATGAAAATATGTCCAGTGTATTTTGTTAAAATGGAAATAGCTCTTAACAAATATGCACAAATATGTGTATTTATGCAAAATATGAATATATACATATAAAATATTCCAAAATATTTTTTTACAATGAGCACATTTTGTGTCTGCATCTTCTTTTATGTTTAAAAAACATGGTAAACAGGCCAGGCGCGGTGGCTCACACCGGTAATCCTAGCACTCTGGGAGGCCGAGGAAGGAGGATCGCTCAAGGTCAGGAGTTCAAGACCAGCCTGAGCAAGAGCGAGACCCCGTTTCTACTAAAAATAGAAAGAAATTAGCTGGACAACTAAAAATATAGAAAAAATTAGCCGGGCATGGTGGCGCATGCCTGTAGTCCCAGCTACTCGGGAGGCTGAGGCAGAAGGATTGCTTGAGCCCAGGAGTTTGAGGTTGCTGGGAGCTAGCCTGATGCACAGCACTCTAGCCCAGGCAACAGAGCAAGACTCTGTCTCAAAAAAAAAAAAAAAAAAAAATGATAAACAAATAAGACTACATCAAATTAAAAAGCTCCTGCACAGTAAAGGAAACAACAAAATGTAAAGGCAACCTATGGCTTAGGAGAATATTATTTGTAAGCCATATAAACCATAAGGGGTTAATATCCAAAATACATAAGGAACTCATACAATCCAATAGCAAAACCTCAAATAATCCAATTTTAAAATGAGCAAAAGACCTGAATAGACATTTTTCCCAAGAAAACATAAAAATGGCCAACAGGTATGTGAAACGGTGCTCAATATCACCAATCATTGGAGAAATGCAAATCTAAAACACAATGAGGTATCACCTCATGCCTGTTAAAAGAGTCATTATCAAAAGACAAGATATAATAAGTTTCAGTGAGGGTGTGGAGAAAAGGGAACCCTTGTATGCTTTTGGTAGTACATTGATGAAATCATTACAGAAAACAGTGTGGAAGTCCCTCAAAAAATTAAAAATGGAACTACTATATGGCCTAGCAATTCCTCTGCTCCCTCGGGCAGAGTCCTTATCCATCCCCTACCCACACCCAGCGGCAAGGGAATCAGCACCTCGTAGAGATATCTGTGCTCCTATGCTCATTAATGATGAAGAGTCTTACTTTGGAAAAATATTCTGCTAATAATCAAAGGAGAAACGATTGAATTTGATAAAGCTATTTCCAAGCCCCCAATATATTGATCTATCTAAGCAATGACTATACATTGCTGACAACCAGACAAGCAGTGTTTATACTCCTCCTGATGGAAGGATGCAGCAGAACCTATGAAGAATTCTGGCCAAAAATCAAAGACAAAACAAAGAATAGTCTACAGTGAACATAGGACTGTGCTAAATGGCACCACAAGAATGCTGTAAGAAAACTGAGACTGTGGGAGATGCTATGGGACAACTGACTCAGTTCTTTACTAAATAACTAGCAAAGAGATGAAAGAGAACCTGTAGGTAAAAAGATATGTAATAGGCACATCAACTATTTGAACATATGGACCTTATTTGGATATCTGATTCAAACAAACAAGCAAAAACAAAAATGTGAAAGAAAGAGAGAGAGAGAGAGAGAGAGAGAGAAAGAAAATAGCTAACAGCACAGGGAGCCTGGAGAGGGAGGAGAGGCCCTTCCCCAGGCAGGGCGGCCTTGTGGGTCCTTCCTGGTCACACGCACCCACTTCACCCCAGCACAGCCCTGCTGCGCCTCTGCTGCCCCCATGTGGCCGAGGGAAGGCTTGACACTGGAGCCCCCCAACAAGACCAAACCAGGACATGAATGCCACAGTCATCTTTGATAGATTCCTCTTCCCCTTTTCACCAACTCATGGCAAGGATTTGTCCCACTCACGAACATGGGGCTGCCTTGCCAGCAAGTGCCAAGCGATGGATACAGACTCTGGCCGAGGGAGCAGGATCCGGAGAACCAGAGGCATCTCAAGCAATCCCCTCTGACAGAGGGAAGGTGGAGATAAAAAGGGAGGAAGGCTCAGGAGAATAGTGGTCAAAGGCGAGCAGTGAAACCAGATCCCAAAATGGTATCTGAGACCAGCTCCTTTGCCTCAGGAGATCAAGGTATTGCCTCACTGAGCTGCTGACGTCTGCTCCCTATGGGCTGTCTGTCTTACAGGGCACCTGAGGTGAGCTGCCCTTGACCAGCTATGTGAGCACACGTTCCCAGAAGTGCAGAGGGAAATTCAGCGGGATAACTCACGAATCTATTAGCCTGCTGTCTGAGCAACAAACCACAGAGATTCAGGAAAAGGGAGTCTAATTCACTGTTATTATCAAATAACATTGCAAAGACATTACACTCGATCCTTTAATATTTGCAAAATTGTTATTAGGCATTAATGCTGACCATTAAAATGATCGATCAGTATTTGGCTTACCCACTAAATCCATTTTTCTCTGTTTGATTTATTGGATCTATAATACTAAGGGTGACGGGATTCTCTAATAAATAAATTTCAGAGCACAGGTACGCATCATGTAGGCACACGAACACATTTCATTCTGGATGAAACTTGCCAATAGCCAGTTTCTTAACCCTGTACCTTAACCCCTTCTTGCATGTGACCCAGGCATACATCTCAATATACTCTTCCCATATTAAGGCTCCAGAGCCAGACTGCCTGGGTTCACAGGCAGCATCAGCATTTACTGTGTGACCTCGGGCAAATTGCCCAAGCTTTTTCCCAGTCTTGGTTGCCTCCCCTATATAATGGGGACAATAACAGTACCACCTCACAGGGCTAAATGAGCTCACAGCTGTAAAGTGCTTAAAACAGTGCCTGGCACAGCAAGTGCTAGAGGAATTCATTAACTCAGTGCCATAGTTATTTTTTCAAAATGGGGGGAGGGACTGTAGGGTTGAAATGTAATTAATTAATTTTTAAAAGCTAATTTAAAAAACAAACTGATTTTCTTTTTTAAACTAATAAACACCATATGTCACTACAATGGGGTGACACTTAAGTGTCCAGTGTCTCCTTGTCCACCTCTAAAGTCTGATGTCACTTTCAAGAGAATCAGACTTATCAGCTTTATTCTCCTTGAAGCCTCTTTTTTTAAACCCCTCATAATAGTCTTTGTAGTGATCAGCCTCTTTTCATCAATCCTGTATCATTTAGGAAAGTAAAGAACACACACAAGTGTGTGTTCACGTGTGCCTGTGTGTGCATATGTATATGTGCGTATGTGTGTATAAGAGTATACGTGTATGTGTGTGTGTGGGTGTGTGCATGTGTGTGCGTGTGTGTGCACGTGTGTATGTAGCAGGAACAGGTAGGGTGGAGGTCAGCCATCCTGAGCATCCTGGAACAACCATACTTTCGATGTGATCTCCTCCACTTTTCTTCCAGCTCTGGTCTGGGATTCTGCCCCCTCGTTCCCCACCTCCAGTAGGCAGCTTGGTCAGCTCACACTCCAGCGACACCTACCTATTGGTGTTCTCCAGAACCTCTACCTTCTTCCGAAGCTCCAAGTTCTCAGTTGAGCAAGACTCCACTCTATGAAGAAGAGAAAAAGAATAAAATTAGCTATTATCAGTAAAGCAAATGCTAAGCCAGGAGCTCAGGTGGATGTAAGTGGGGACCAGGGAAGGAAGAGGGGATCGCTACTCCAGAGCTTGGCCAGCCAGAGTTGGGAAGAAGGACGAAGAGACTAAAGAAAAAAAAAAAAACAGAGGGAGCGGAGTAACAAGTGCCTCGATAATGAGAGATTAATAGGCATGGTACAAAATAGAAGCACCTTTTAAGGGTGTTACCACCTTGTTTTCTCTCACCTCTTCCCTGCTGCTCTCAATACACATCATACTTCTCCCTCTGTAGGACAGCAATGTGGATACTACTGGCCGTGGTTCTGGCCAGAAGGACTGATGAGAAGCCAAGGGGCTTGACAGGGGGACAAGCGGGAGGACAAGAACCCAGGACAAGGAACCCCGATGCTGGAGCATGCAAGCCCAAGAGGCAGGAAAGAGACTTTCACAGAAATATCTTGACCCTGGATGCCTACAGAAAATGATGCAACAGAATGGTCTACAGCTGTTCTGTGGTACCCAGGGGGAATGGTTCCAGAACCCCTAACCCCCCATGGATACCAAAATGCACGGATGCTGAAGTCTCTTATATAAAATGGTGTACTATTTGTATATGACCTACGCACATCCTCCCGTATACTTTAAATCACCTCTAAATTACTTATTATACCTAATACAATGTAAATTCTATGTAAATAATTATACTGTATTTTT